GAAGATGGTTATTTATATCTGTTCCCATTTAATATGGACCGTCCATCGCGTTTGATCTATACTATCCGATTGCGATTAAAAAGGAAGTGAATCTGGATCGCCAATCGCGATCTAATCTGGATTGTTCGATCACATTTAAATAGGAAGCAAATCTGGACCATTGATCGTGTTTAAATTTGGTCATCCGATCGCGATTGGGGAGGGAACACATTCATGCCGTCCGTGCGCGCGGGAACGAATCTGGACCGTTTGATCGTGGGTACGCGGCTCGCTTGTGTGGCCTCCCACATGGCATTGCGTCAGCGTCGTTGCCACGCGACGCGTTCTGATTCGTCGAGGCTGCTGACCGGGCATCCTACGTGGCACAAGTTTTCTAAATTATATTTTAACCCCCCAATTTTTATTTTTTTTAAAAATACTTTTAGAATCCAAATTTTCACCTATTTTCTCCAAAATTATTTTTAATTGCATCTTCTATCAAATTTCCTTCATTTTTACACTAAATTAAAATTTTAAAAAATAAAAATTATATTTATAAATTAATTTTAAATTACATTAAAAAAATTAAATTTGGATGTTACATAGGCCCGGTTCTTTTGAGCTATTTTGGACCGGAAAAAGCTCGGTCTGAAGCGAAGTGGCAGAAGTGCATGAACCGTTTGGCAATTGGGCCATCGGGTTAACCCACATATTTTTATCCGGGCCATTACGAGAAATTCAAGTTAAAAATCGGAGCCGGAATAAAAACTGCAGATCGGGAAGTGTAATAAGGATTGTCTAGCAAGAATATTACAGTAGCCAAAACCCTCAAGAATCTCAATCTCTGGCTTCCTATTCTTCTTATCTGGTGTGAAAGAGAATTCTCAAATTTTGTTTTCTCGTTCAAGGTAATCCATGGCTCCAAAGCCAAAAGATAAACCAAAGCCCTCACAGCAGCAGTCGCAGCCACCCCCTGCAATCGAAGATCTCTTCACCTCTCTCAATAGACACATCCAGCGATCCGAATTCGAACAGGCTGTTAAAGTTGCAGATCAACGTCTGTTTTTCACTTTTCCTTAGTTATAAACTGTGATTAATTTCTCTCTTGTCCCTTTGTGTCTATTTTGTTACTGTTGGATGTCTTGAATATTTTTATTTTGCCAGTTCTGTCAATTGCACCTGGAGACGAGGACGCGATTCGATGTAAGGTTGTGGCTTTGATAAAAGCAGATAGCATCGATGATGCTCTCTCAACAATTCAATCTTCTCAGAAGATTCTCACTGATTTCAGTTTCTTCAAGGTCAGTATATTAATTGCATTTCGATGATGCTATTTCCTGTAACGTTATGGCAACATGAGTTACACTCATCTAAATCGGTTTGAAATTTTACAAGTATTATGTACCAAAAATGAGCGGGGTGGCTTAATTTTTACTTATATT